AACTGAATATGGGTTGCATGGCCGTCAATCTCGTGATGTATGAATGCGTTCTCAGTACCCTTTCGCATTTTATCCCTTAGCTAGCGTTATGAAAACCTAGATCCAGTTAGAGTACGTTTGTTGCTGCTCTGTGCTATGTACGGGAATGTTGAATTGTTGGCCCTAATGGTTCTTACTGATTAGGCTTAAATATCCCTGAGAACGTGAATACCTTGTCGAAGCCGCGAATACGTCATAAAGATGCACTCTATCCAACTATGCCACAGTCTGATGCGAGCACTGCACAAAAAATAAAAGAGCAAAAGAAAGTGTCTGAGCTATGAATACAATGTTTTACAATGAAAAAAAAAAAACCTAAAATGATTACCTCAAGAGCGGTGTCGTGATCATCTATGGTGCTTTTTTCCAGAACATGAACAGCACCAGTTGTTGTCTTTCTGGAGCTCGCATGCCATTTGCCAGTTGACGTCCGATATTCTTTCAGTGCAGATGAAACATTGAACTTACACCCACGTGTGCTGCCGATACATGACACGAGGCGCGCATAGGACGTCAAAATGCGCATGCGCTGAACTAATAGTGTAGATTAGATTAACGTTATCTGAAAAACGAGCACGTCAGTATACGTGGTGAATTGATTCCATCAATGGTTACCCACGTCTCGATCTAGTAAAAAGCTCCCTACTAGGAACAAGTTTGGACGAAAGGACTAAAGAACGTGGGTGGGTAATCCATCAAATGAAGCAGAAAATGCACGCGAAGGTCTAGAATTTGTCAGGAATTTCGTTGAAAGGTGAAAAGTGTACGTCCTCAAGAGTTTTCAGAACAAGCGAGGGTGTATTCGGATTGTTCCTAGTATCTCCAAAACCAACTTCACCAAGATGGAGGGCGTCGCTTTACCGGTTAAGAAAGTGTCAACAAACTAACTTTTCAATAATTTTGTGGCAAGCAGATTTTTGATAGCAAGACTCATTCTGCCTGAATTTCGACAAGTTCGCCGTTTTTAAAACACTAAAAGAGCCTCGAGACTTGGAGTTTTATCCACGCGTGACTGATCCTTAACCGGTTGCAGATAGGACCAAGGAATTGTAACTAACCATAAGTAGGACTCCCAATGAATGACCCACGGATGTCACCGGCACCGAACGGTTGCTCAACTATAGACAAGTGGGACCCCCGGTCGCCCGCCCACACCCCATTAATAGGTCCCACGAACTTCCGCATGAATTTTTATGAAACTACGTAATATCTGAAGAATTCCGTATGGATAGAGATCAAGTTGACCTAGACTAATTTTCTGAGTAAAGGAGTGTGAACAACTGAGTGAAGGAGTGTGAACAACATTGGCGGAAGCGTGATCGTGATGGTTGTGGGGACATTCGTCTGAATTAATGGGTTTAGGGGGTGGGTGGGGGATGCAGATGTTGTAGGCCTGTGCAAAACAATGGGAAGACAAAGTTCACTCAAGACAAAGAGTAAGTATAATTAGATTTCCACCCGAGAGGAATCGCATAAAAATGAGGCTATAGTATACTCGATAAGCATACCCTGAGACAACCAAATCTACTTTGAAGAAGATTTACTCAGTACAGATTGAAATCGTCCTCGTTACAACACCTTCCAAGGGTGGAAAATAGACAAGTGGGACCCCCGGTCGCCCGCCCACACCCCATTAATAGGTCCCACGAACTTCCACATGAATTTTTATGAAACTACGTAATATCTGAAGAATTCCGTATGGATAGAGATCAAGTTTGACCTAGACTAATTGTTCTGAGTAAAGGAGTGTGAACAACTGAGTAAAAGAGTGTGAACAACATTGGCGGAAGCGTGATCGTGATTGTTGTGGGGACATTCGTCTGAATTAATGGGTTTAGGGGGTGGGTGGGGGATGCAGATGTTGTAGGCCTGTGCAAAACAATGGGAAGACAAAGTTCACTCAAGACAAAGAGTAAGTATAATTAGATTTCCACCCGAGAGGAATCGCATAAAAATGAGGCTATAGTATACTCGATAAGCATACCCTGAGACAACCAAATCTACTTTGAAGAAGATTTACTCAGTACAGATTGAAATCGTCCTCGTTACAACACCTTCCAAGGGTGGAAAAATCTAATACTGAGAACTAAGAGACATTCGATAAAGTCTACGAACACGTGCTAGAGTTTAGACAAGTGGGACCCCCGGTCGCCCGCCCACACCCCATTAATAGGTCCCACGAACTTCCGCATGAATTTTTATGAAACTACGTAATATCTGAAGAATTCCGTATGGATAGAGATCAAGTTGACCTAGACTAATTTTCTGAGTAAAGGAGTGTGAACAACTGAGTGAAGGAGTGTGAACAACATTGGCGGAAGCGTGATCGTGATGGTTGTGGGGACATTCGTCTGAATTAATGGGTTTAGGGGGTGGGTGGGGGATGCAGATGTTGTAGGCCTGTGCAAAACAATGGGAAGACAAAGTTCACTCAAGACAAAGAGTAAGTATAATTAGATTTCCACCCGAGAGGAATCGCATAAAAATGAGGCTATAGTATACTCGATAAGCATACCCTGAGACAACCAAATCTACTTTGAAGAAGATTTACTCAGTACAGATTGAAATCGTCCTCGTTACAACACCTTCCAAGGGTGGAAAATCTAATACTGAGAACTAAGAGACATTCGATAAAGTCTACGAACACGTGCTAGAGTTATCTCTCCGTGGTCTGACGACCAATTCCTACCAGTGCTTATCACTGACTTCTCGCCACTAAAGGAAAAAACGATGGAACGGTCCTTTTCACCGAAAGATTGTCACACCTTATCGACAATGCACGTTCCAAATTACACATTTCCACGATGCCGAACGACAAAATGGCTTCCTGCAAAACGATGGTTCCAACGCGTGATTCACAAAACGCTCGTCGTTTTCAACGAAAAAAAAAAGAGGTACCCTTCAAAATTGCTGTGCTAGCTGTGTCGACGTTCTGAGTCGGAATTAGTCGAGTTAAAAAGTTGAACGTGCCCAAGATAGCAACGTTTCCGTGAACAGCACAAGTCTATCTAACAGTATACTGCCAACAACCAAAAAATTACTCGAAAAAATCGATTAAAAACGTAATATTTCCGAGTTTTCATGTACGAAATTATGCTGGTAATTAATGGTAAGCAAAAATGTATCTTCCTGTGTACTTCAGGCAATCATCTTCAAGGCTAATTACCTGTTTCTCAAAGTGATCTTTATCTACAGACGAGGTACATGAATATGTTTTTGTAAAAAAAATAACGATATTTTCATAAAACATACGACATTACCTAGTTAGCAATCTGATAGCATACTCATTTGTGTCCGCGACAATTCGTGTACTTTAAGTTTTAGCTGAAGTCTTGAGCGAAAAGTCAAGGGCCAAAGACATGTGGCGCCGCTGCCACCCACATGGCTTATGATTAA